AACAGAGATCAGTGGGAGAGATCAGAGGTTCGTGATACTAGGACACAGCATCTGGTTAATGGTGATTCCTCGCCCCCTTCTTCACCAAAGTAAGCCTCCTTGCAGTATTATGTTTAGCTTGTAATATTGGCAGGTTTTGATGATCAAATCACACACACACACACACACCAGAAGATGAAGAAACTACAACAATTCAACAACTACTACAACAATTATCAAGTCGTATGTGGTGCATTCTGGACCACACATGAGTTGATAATGGTCCAGGATGGACCAAAACATCATACAGTAGTTTCTTCACCTTCTGGTGTGTAGTTTGGTCATCATATCTTCAGCCATGTTATTGTGACTCATTGTCTACACATAGGTAGGTTTTGAGATTACCTTTGCAGCTTCCTTATGCCAGGCTCTCCTGATATCATGATGATTAGTTAGGCTTAAATCTGATTTGGTCCTGCTGCTTTGCTTACTTCAAACTTGTACCGGTGCTGCTGTATCTCTTATCTGCCCTAAGTCACTACAGTAATTCTCTTTAGATTGCCTAATGGTTTCCAGATACCTCTTGTACTGGCTTTCTACTGTGACTTGAATAGAAATCTCCTGTCGAGTTATTAGTGTCACTTTCTGTGGGGACATTGCAATATTTTCTTGTTTAATAACTTGGACCATTGGTGTTCATTTTCTTCATGGCTGCAGAACTCGTTGCTGCTCTGGCCTTGGCCACCATCTCATCTTCAAATTGACTTTTCACTCCTGTCTCAAAAACTGTGTACAGTGCTTTTACCTAAGCCATCCTGTTTTTGGTTTTGGCCTCTCATGCATTTTGCTAGACAACGAGTAACTAGCTGTTCTTACCTGAATAATGTACGCTTTTGTGACTGGATTTGCAATGTATTTTATTTAATTGTAATGCAATAGTTAGGGACGGGGAATAATTTTCTTTAAGTTTATTTGCTAAAAGTTCCTCCAATCAACAGCCTCTTGGACCAAGATCTGGGCCGGGCTTGGGGAGTAGAACAACTCCAGAACCTCGTCCAGGTATAATTAATAAGACAGTTGGGCAGCTTGATCTCCCTCTGCAAACTCCTGACTTTTTCCAGGATGCTCCATAGTTTTCCTGGCTTAGTGCCTTCTTTTGATCATTTTTCTTTTCCAGGGTGTGGAACCCACAACTCCTGGGTACTTATTTACTATTAGGTGAAATTTTTTTCAAAACTTTGCCAAGATTTGTCCTGCCACGAATATTGAATCGGGGACCTTTAGATCGTGACCTAACTGTTGGCACACCACTGGTCTTCCCATTTGATTATATCTTTGAAGTTATAGGTCTCTTGATGGTACTGATGGCCATTTCCTCCTAGTCTCCATAACCAGCCTTTCACCCTTAACAACACTTGTTAGGCCTAAAGTGTGCAATCTTGACAAGTTTGCTTGGAAAGCCTGTTAAGAAATTTGACAAGTAATTAACAAAGATGTGATATTAAGCATATCATTAACATTGTTTACAACTTTCTTGATATATGTATATTTGGCCTCATTAGATCGTAACACACACACGATGATTGTCTTCATGGCTTCATAACTATATTAGGGTCCAATTATTCCTGTGCATTGAACCCATATTGTAGTGTTTTGAGTCTTGCAAAAGACAATTTTGTTAAGGCTCTTAATTTTGAGATTATTACCCTTCACTTGAATCTTTGACTAAATATATTGTTAACATTGCAGACCACAAAAGACTGACATAAAGACAAGCAGTGAAGAGTGCAGTGTAGAAGAAACTAAAGTGACAACAATTCAGCCTTTAAATAACAACGATGGGGTAAGAAATTGTTCCCAGCTCTAAAACCTTTTTTTGAATTTGCAGGTTAATACAGACAGAAATCACACTAGCGTGATATCAACCCTCTATGATCAAACCCTCATCACGTCCCTTGTGGATTTGCAGGTTAATCTCTATCCTTGTGCTCTTACTGCGCAAGATGCAAGTCCTGTGGCTACATTAACACTATCGTCCGTGCCACGTGAGCACCGCAGACTTTGACGTCATGGGGCTAATGGTGCGGGCGAGTGTGCGGCGACGCCTAAATGTGTATACTCGTTTCAGTTTTCTCATCTTAATTCTCGTGCCACGCCTTCATTTTGGTATCATTGTGTTTGCAATTAAATTCCCTGCAGATGTATATGCATATAATGTCCAAAAGCCTGGCGAGACTCCCTGCAGCAAAGCCTAAAATTACCTGTGAGCGAGCAACAATTTGCACACCACAATCTAATGTGCATACTCGTTCAGTTTGATAACCTAAATTTTCATGTTACATCGCTCGTTTTGGTATCAAATTGTTCGCAATATAAAGGTGCACATTTTAAAACTAGTCCCATAATAATAGCACAATATATAGAATTTTAACAAATATTTTAAAATTTAAAGTTTAGACCCAAAAACGTATTTATAATCTTTCAAGTGTTCTGACATCAAATTTCGTGTTACATCTTTCATTTTGGTATCAAATCGTGCGCCTTCTAAAGGCGCTTATTTTGAAACTATCCCGAGGTCGTTCGGATAAAAAATGAATTTTATACAAATATTTTTGTGGATGAGAGTCCTGTCCACAGCTAGGACTCGAGAGAAAAAAAATGGACGTAATCGGTGTTCTAAGCGAGCGATACTGTTAAAAGAAGCGGTTCACATCAGTTTCCTGAGAGCTCATTCATTTAACATGCCATTTAAAAAAAGTTGGGGGGATACAATTCTCGGGTGTGAAGGCCTCTGTATTGAATGAGTAACCAAGGCTGGCATATGCAGAACAAAACAGCACTGCTCTTCAGCTTGTAACCACAGCATCACTTGAAAATATAAAAATAAATATATATATATATATATGTATGTATGTATATATGTATGTATATATGTATGTATGTATGTATATATGTATGTATATATGTATGTATGTATATATATATTATATATTAAATAAATAAATAATGTGTGTAACTATTATTATTTAGCGATGATAGTATTACTGAAAAGAGCCTGATTGTGTACAATGTTCAGATGTCGTTGAACACAATGTTATAGATGTTCGCAGCGCTAGGTAGGTAGCCACAGCATAGTCATTGTTTGGTCCATCTAAGAACCTTGAAACGACCTTCCTTTATAAAATAATAGTGTGTAAAATTATTCATTTACAGGATTTAGTGACCAGGATTCTGATCATAGCAATATTGTGGTGACAATTACGATTTGCATAGTATGACAGGAGGAGGAATCTTAACTGTGAGGTAGTGTCATCAGCTGACTGTGTGTAGCGGACACTAATATTGTTTGGACTTGCCATACCAGCTAGTGGATCATTATGGTGAACAAAAATGTAAACACGTTATATATAACGTGTGTTTCATTCACCTGGACTGTAGGAGTCTTGAAATGTGGATCCCGTGTTTATGTAGTGTAATAACAGCAAAACCATTATGCTGGGAGGAGAAATTTTAGTGATGTGATCATCAGCTGGATGATGTGTGACTTGTCATACAGTGAATGGTGTATGCTGTTTGGACTCCATTCCAGCTTAGTGGTACGGTTATGGTGAAAAAACGCGTTGATACTTGCATAATGTCTATATGGTGAATAAAGGCAAAAACAGTATGGTGGGAGGAGGAATGTTGGCGAGCGAGGTGTCGGTGAGGGAGGGAAGGTAGCGATGTTTGCTGGCTGGTGTGTGGCTGCCACTCTTGTTGTTTTGACTCGCCATACCAACTTAGTGTTTTATGATGAATAAAACGTGCAGATACTTATATATAACCTGTGTATATAGTGTAATAACAGCACAAACAGTATTTTGGGAGGAGCCAATAAACAGTGAAACTATTTGTTTCATGAACAGAATTGAATCACTAATATGCACACCATACTTTTGAGTATAACAATAGTTCACACATTGTTATATAAATATATCGCACTACACACTATTGAATAATATTGCTGCCAAAAAAAAAAATTAAAAAAATCACATTGAAATAATTAGGTAATAATATCTTTGTGGCAATTCCCGCCTGACAGCTCGGGCGGAGTTGACCGCCTCCGACGCTTGCTGTCAACGCCACAATTTTGCCAGACTTCCTCTCCCTATTGTGGCCAAAATATGTTGCCTACGATTTTATATTTTCCCGTGGTCAGGGATCTCACACACGTCTATAAGACAGATTTTTTTTATTATAAATATCTTGTGCACAGCGATATTGACTGTAGCAGCTTAACCCCTGCAATGTTCACCTGTTTTTGGCTAATACTTCATAGTGCAATTCTTAACACTTTCGCGCTTTAGATTAGAGATAACTCGTCGCCGTTTTCTCTTACAATTCCGCATAACAGCCGAGTTTTCTCGTCCATCGAAAAAATATTTCTATAAATTCCATTTTTTAACCGAAATGGATGGGGATACTTTTGTTTTGTAGGGAATTTATTTGCGAATGTTTTGGTACCAGAATGAATATTATATCACAAACTTCTATGAGTAAAAAAAAAAATACACAAAGTATGTTTGGGGGTGTGGCGAGCGTGTGGCAGTGGGTTCCCTTTAGCCGTTGATATATCCAACACGTGGGAAATATTTGTATGTGTTATGTATATGTCTGTGTAGGGAATTTTACTGCGATCACTGTCATACAAATTATAAAATGTTCCAACAAGTATAAACATGACAAACATCAAACGAACGAAAACAATGCGTTCGTTTCTGCCGCGAACGCATACCGAGCGACGTGGTTCTATATTTGGCGCTTCTCTTACACATGCTTTGTACAAATGTTATACAGTTCATCTTATAGAAAATTTTATTGCGAACACATTGGTATAAAAAAGAAATACGTACATAGAAAAGTAGGGTCAGGAAACGTATAAACTTTCCAAGCATGATTTCCCCCCTGTGTTTTCGCCAGTGCGCTCGAGGCTAACTACTCTCAACTTCACACACTCTTGCGGGTGGGCAATTACCTATATTAAACATTCATATGCATATGCCCGTGTAGAGAATTTTATTGCGATTCCAATGATACCAAAATTAGCGATGTAGAACAACTGTAGGCTTCACAACCATTAAGAGAGTGGAAACATTTTGTTGCTGTTTGGCGCTCTCGGCGAGTGATCTGCATAGTTTTTTATTTGGTGTTGATACTCCTTATGCTTGGGCGGCATTTTATAGGTATGCTCTTATAGACAATTTCATTGCGAACACAGTGATACCAAATTTAAATACGTGCGCCTACAATTATTGTCAGGACAGTCAAAAGAGTGTACACTTTTCGGTCTTACCGCGTAGGCGCGCGAAGTGCCGAAAGCATCTGGGGTATTGTTTTTTTTTGAGCGCCGAGAGCGCGAAAGTGTTAAGGACATATTTTTGTTGTTTTTGTAAATGTTCAGGTAAAGTTATTGTCAATGTTACCAAACTCAACCATTTTCATTTCAAAACAGAGTAATGAAAACATTAAAAAACATTAAAATATAGGGTAACTATAACAAAAATAGTTCAACTCTCAAAATGAGATTTCTCACTAGGCGCTGCGCAGCTCGGTGGTTAACCTTTAGACCGCGTAATACATACATAAATGATTTGACAAAAAATAATTAAGATAAATTTTTAAAACTTGCACAAACGCTCATTTTTTTTATTATTTTTTTGCATAATCAACTAGGCAAATGTTTCAACTTTGTCTAAATGATCACAGCGTAACTTTAAAAAAGAGAATCAAAATTAATTTTAAAATTTAATATTGAAAAATTCAGATTTTCAATTCAGAATAAAAAATATGAACTATCATTAATTATTCATTTAATGATATTATTCTCCTAAGAATAGCATATGATCTTCATTTTCATTAAATTAGAATACAAGTTTGTAGTATAGTTTACTGCAAAAAAAAATAGCCAATAGGACATTTGAAATATGCGGCAAATTTAGACAAAAAAAAAATTGTAACTCCAAATGTATAAAATTTATGAAAAATCCTTCTGGTGGGATTGTAGCAGAGCAAAGAACAATGTCAAAATGGTTAATAACTGGAATTTTAGAAGCCACTCTAAAGGTGAAAATCTGATTGATAGATTAAGCCACCCAAGAGGTGGCACGGGTATGAATAGCCTGTAATGGCTTCAGAGATAATTGAAGTTGGAAATTATCAACAATGAATAAAAGGTAGTTTTAATTCATTAATTTAATTGTATGTTTTAATAAACATTGTTTGGCATGCGTACTGGAATATGTGAAAGTTGTAAGTCAATGTGTGCTGAAAAGAAGTCAAGAAAAAATAACCCCCCAAAGAGACTCAAAATATAGGGATAAATATAATGATTTATGGGATATATTTAGGGTATTCTTCATGTAAGCGAAAAAGCCCTGATCTGGTTCCTAATCATCAAAACAACCTAAAGAGACAAAGAAAATAAAGTTTGAAATTGGAGAAAAAAAGTACCAAGTTTTTTTTTTTTTATTTGTTGACCAATTTCATTCTATCTTCATAGTTATGAAAGCATATGCATTCTCCAGGATGTAAAGGTTAAAACAAAATCAGATACAAAAATCAAAGGAGGAAAAATAACTAAAATCTTGAAAAAAAAAATCCCCTAAAAACAAATTTTTGGGACATTGATGAAAGTAACATATATTAACATTGGACAATGTATTTATATATATTAACATTGGACAATGTATTTATATGATATATAACAAAATAGATCATATTGACAGTTATTCATTATGTTTTGTGTTGTGTATTACTCGGCAATGCTATAAAGGCACCAACTGCACATGCACTTTGTGAACACTACTTGCTCCTACTGTATTCTTCTTTGAGCATAAGACAGGTGCCGGCATTTCTTTATTACTCCATAACCTTCAGTTACAGTTATTAGGAGCTGTTCTTCTTATCAATAAATTGTTCTTATTTTTTAAAAATTCATCTAAAATCAATTTCTGAAAATATTTTTGAGTTTCACGACACTTAACCCAATAAGCTGGAGATATATTTAACATTTATACATTATTTTTACATAATTCAAATATTTTTCGATGTTATGCCCTCTAAATTCGCGGTAATATGTGCGGTCTAAGGTTAAAGGTCTTTAACCTTATCTATAACCTTTAACCTATATTCTAAGGGTCACATTTGTCTCTGCCTCCACCGGGGATCGAACCTGGAACCTCGGGATCACGAATCCGAAGCGCTGTCCAGTCGGCTATCAGGCCCCTGTTAACACTTTCGCGCTCTCGGCGCTCAAAAAAAAACAATACCCCAGATGCTTTCGGCACTTCGCGCGCCTATGCGGTAAGACCGAAAAAGTGTACACTCTTTTGACTGTCCTGACAATAATTGAAGGCGCACGTATTTAAATTTGGTATCACTGTGTTCGCAATGAAATTGTCTATAAGAGCATACCTATAAAATGCCGCCCAAGCATAAGGAGTATCAACACCAAATAAAAAACTATGCAGATCACTCGCCGAGAGCGCCAAACAGCAACAAAATGTTTCCACTCTCTTAATGGTTGCGAAGCCTACAGTTGTCCTACATTGCTAATTTTGGTATCATTGGAATCGCAATAAAATTCTCTACACGGACATATGCATATGAATGTTTAATATAGGTAATTGCCCACCCGCAAGAGTGTGTGAAGTGGAGAGTAGTTAGCCGCGAGCGCACTGGCGAAAACACAGGGGGGAAATCATGCTTGGAAAGTTTATACGTTTCCTGACCCTACTTTTCTATGTACGTATTTCTTTTTTATACCAATGTGTTCGCAATAAAATTTTCTATAAGATGAACTGTATAACATTTGTACAAAGCATGTGTAAGAGAAGCGCCAAATATAGAACCACGTCGCTCAGTATGCGTTCGCGGCAGAAACGAACGCATTGTTTTCGTTCGTTTGATGTTTGTCATGTTTATACTTGTTGAAACATTTTATAATTTGTATGACAGTGATCGCAGTAAAATTCCCTACACAGACATATACATAACACATACAAATATTTCCCACGTGTTGGATATATCAACGGCTAAAGGGAACCCACTGCCACACGCTCGCCACACCCAGAGCCACACCCGCCACACCCCCAAACATACTTTGTGTATTTTTTTTTTTACTCATAGAAGTTTATGTGATATAATATTCATTCTGGTACCAAAAAATTTGCAAATAAATTCTCTACAAAACAAAAGTATCCCCATCCATTTCGGTTAAAAAATGGAATTTATAGAAATATTTTTTCGATGGACGAGAAAACTCGGCTGTTATGCGGAATTGTAAGAAAAAACGGCGACGAGTTATCTCTAATCTAAAGCGCAAAAGTGTTAATAGCTTCGCTGTCCAGGGGTTAAGGGAGCGTTACTTCCAAATTTGCCCAAAATATGAAATAAATGAAAGCTCATTCGATTTCAATCAAACTGTTTTGGCGAATTGTATATGAAAAGGGTTTCATTTGGGCATAGTCTCGGCATCGTAGCATAAATAGGAAGGGAGGAAAAAAATATTGAATTGTCAAATTTTCCAAAATGGTCAAAAACGATTATCAAACAAATATATCAACTGAAATCATGTCTATGACTCGGCTATCACAATAACATATATTAAAAACAAATTGTATTTAGTTTTATTAAAAAAAATTAGTTAAAAAGTTTTTTTTTTTTTATTATTTCTATCTTGTTTATAGGGCGATTTGCATGAAACTTGTACACCTGACTGCACGTAAGCCTATCTGTAAGGGTGCCAATTTTGGAGGAAATTGGTTGTCAACCTCAGCCACAGATGGCAACACCTTAGACTTTATTTTTTACTTATTTGAACGTTTGTTACTTGAAAATAAATATCAAAATTCATTTTTTATTCAATTTACATGACTTACTCCTTATATGTAAAGTTTGTCTCTAAAATCTTAAGGAAACGTTTTCCTAAGTTCATTTGTTTATTTTATAAATAGCAATAAACATAATTGCATAATTTTGGGGGGAACTTTGACTATTTGTATTAGGAAAACTAAAGACGTTTTGGTTATTCCTATAGATCCTTTATTATATGCTAATGTGTCAGAAAAGTTTCATAGAATGATTATATCTGAAAGGTGTGGTTGTAAACTTACACTTGAAAATGTATAAAATTCGTTGAAAAAAATCTCCCTTACTATTTAGGCTACAGTACTGAAACATTATGTACCAATTTGAATTACTAGGAAAAGTGAGTGAATAGATGAAGCCAGCATAGAATGTTTATAGGATTGGACCAGACAGTTGAACCATTGTGGCACCAGTCCCGAATATTTCAAGAAGTCCCTGTGGGGTTATTATGGCGCTCGGTAAAAGGTATATATAAAAGTGCTAAGCCAGTATACCACACTGGATAGGGATGAGACAAACTGGGATATGATAATTGGTGGGGGAGGTGTGGATGGTGCCCAATCACTTGGACTGTCTGGGATCGAACCCCGACCCCTGCGAGGTACAAGTTAATCGGACACCCAACCCACATATCTGAAAATAAAGTAATTGAAGATGTATCAATTAGTCCTGGACTTGATAATGGTCCAGGACAGATAAAGACATCAAATCCTTTATTCTCAAATTTCTGGGTTGGGTGTTGTAATTTTGAGCCACGTTGTGACTGCAATGCTCTTGTTGTACCCACAAGTTATTTATATTCATACATTACTTCTCAAAGAAACTATTCTTAACTTTACAATGCCTGGCATATTCATTCTTCATGAATATGCCAGGCATTGTAAATAAGAATGCCTTCATTCAACATTCTTTATAAGAATAAATCTTAGTGTATATTCAAACATTTCTGATAATGTTGAATGTTGATACTAAATCTAATGTACCTACTCATTATTAGGTTTCCAAGCAAAAATTTGTAAAATTGTGTGTATTGCTAGGCACATAACACAATGGGCTAGTTTCCTTTGACCAAAAAAGCTAGCACCAGTCCCAGACAAAGACAGTAACCAACAGCCATTTTATTTTCATGGTACTGTATTCAAAATTTGTACTATTTTCAGTATTAATGTCTAGTGTACATAATGGGTTTTCTATTTCAAGGAGCACAAAACCAGCTGGGCAAAGATGGCCTTGGCATCAAAGGATGAAATGGAGAGACTGGCAGCTGAGTTAAAGGAGAAGGAAGAGCAGGAGAAGATAAAGAAGCAGAGGCTTAGCACAAGACCACAGCCTAAAGCACAAGGTTAGTATGGCATTATTAATCTTTTAACTGCGCATCACGTCATATGACGTGTTTGAGTACTATGCAAGATTTAAACGATCCATGGATACACAGGGTTCACACCAACTTTGTCAGGGCTCTTGTAAATAGACGTCATATAAAAAAAAAAAAGTCGTGGGCAACATTCCCAATTGTGAAAGCCTCAGTACTGAGCCAGCCACCAAGGCTGGCGCATTCAGCATAAGCTCATGGCACTGTTGTTCAGCTTATTCAGCAGCAGAAATAATTCAGCATTGCCTAAAAATGTCAATATATATGTACATGCTATTATTTAGCAATGATAGTATTAGAGAAGATCCCCTGACTGATAAAAATGACCAGGATTCTGATAATAGCAGAATTGTTGTTCTAATTAGCGCTGTAGTGGGAGGAGTATAATCGTGGTGGGGAGGGAGGTAGTGTTGTCTGCTGACTGTGTGACGATCTTTTACTGCCTGAACTCGCTATACCAGCTTAGTGGTTCGTTATAGTGAACAAAACATGCAGGTACTTATATAACGTCTGTATATAGTGAATAAGAGCAAAAACAGTATGGTGGGAGGAGAATGTTGGCGAGTCAGATGAGGTGAGGGAGAGACTGGCGGCTAGCTGCCTGGTGTTCTGGCCACTCCTTGCTGCTTTTTGACACAGCATACCAACTTAGTGGTGCATTATGGTGAACACGAATGTAGATACTTGTATATAACGTGTAAATGTAGTGTAATAACAGCAACAGCAAAAGGAGTGTTGGGAGAAGCCATTTTGTTGAGGGAGGTGGCAATATCTGCATGACTTGTCATGTTGGGTAAGGGTGGCCACTATGCTCTTTGGGCACTATACCAGTTTAATTGAACAGTTATGGTGAACAAAACATGTAGATAATTATATATGGTGTATGTGTATAGGGTAATAACACCACAAACAGTAAACTTGAAGGAGGAATGTTAGTGTGTCTGGCCTTGAACCAGGGAGGGAGGGAGGGAGCGAGCATCAGTTGTGTAATTACCTAAGTGTAGTTACAGAATGAGAGCTACGCTCATGGTGTCCCATCTTCCCAGCACTCTTTGTCATATAACGCTTTGAAACTACTGACGGTCTTGGCCTCCACCACCTTCTCCCCTAACTTGTTCCAACCGTCTACCACTGTTTGCGAAAGTGAATTTTCTTATATTTCTTCGGCATCCGTGTTTAGCTAGTTTATATCTATGACCTCTTGTTCTCGGTCTTTTCCAGTTCCAGGTCTCGGGAAATCTTCCCTATCGATTTTATCAATTCCTGTTACTATTTTGTATGTAGTGTTCATATCACCTCTTTTTCTAATGTCTTCTAGTTTTGGCATATTTAATGCCTCTAACCTCTCCTCGTAGCTCTTGCCCTTCAGTTCTGGGAGCCACTTAGTAGCATTTGCACCTTTTCCAGTTTGTTGATGTGCTTCTTAAGATATGGGCACCACACAACAGCTGCATATTCTAGCTTTGGCCTAACAAAAGTGGTGAACAATTTCTTTAGTATATTGCCATCCATGCATTTAAATGCAATTCTGAAGTTAGAAAGCGTGGCATAGGCTCCTTGCACAATATTCTTTGTGGTCCTCAGGTGATAGTTTTCCATCTAGAACCACCCCTAGATCTCTTTCCTTATCAGAATTCTTTAAAGATTTCTCACATAATATATAGGTTATGTGGGGTCTATGTTCTCCTATTCCACATTCCATAACATGGCATTTATTAACATTAAATTCCATTTGCCAAGTGGCGCTCCATGTACTTATTTTGTCCAGGTCTTCTTGAAGGGCATGACAATCGTCTAAGTTTCTTATCCTTCCTATTATCTTAGCATCAGCAAACATGTTCATATAATTCTGGATACCAACTGGTAGATCATTTATGTAGACAATAAACCTCACTGGTGCAAGAACTGAACCCTGTGGTACTCCACTTGTGACATTTCTCCAGTCTGATACATTGCCTCTGATTACTGCCCTCATTTTTTTGTCAGTCAGAAAATTTTTCATCCATGTTAGAAGCTTACCTGTCACCCCTCCAATATTTTCCAGTTTCCAGAACAACCGCTTATGTGGAACTCTGTCGAAAGCCTTTTTTAGGTCCAGATAGATGCAGTCAACCCAACCATCTCTTTCCTGTAATATCTCTGTTGCTCGATCATAGAAACTGAGTAAATTCGATACACAGGATCTTCCAGATCGAAAACCATACTGTCTGTCTGATATTATATAATTTCTCTCCAGGTGTTCTACCCATTTAGATTTAATTATATTTTCCAATATTTTGACTATTACACTTGTCAATGATACCGGTCTATAATTAAGGGGGGTCTTCCCTGCTTCGACTTTTGTAGATTGGAACTATGTTATCCTTTTTCCACACATCAGCTACAACTCCTGTAAACAGGGATGCCTGAAAAATCAGTTGAAGAGGAATGCTGAGCTCAGGTGCACATTCTCTCAGAACCCATGGTGAAACTCCATCTGAACCAACTGCTTTGTTCTTATTTAGCTCCTTGATCATTTTTTCCATTTCGTCTCTAGACACCTCTATGTGCTCTATGTTGTTCTCTGGAATTCTTATTGTATCTGGTTCCCTGAAGATTTCATTTTGTACAAACACACTTTGGAACTTTTCGTTTAGTGTTTCACACATTTCCTTTTCATCTTCCGTGAATCTATTTCCCATTTTCAACCTCTGAATATTATCCTTTACCTGCAATTTGTTGTTTATGAATTTATAGAATAGACCTGGTTCTGTTTTACATTTGTCTGCGATCCCTTTTTCAAAATTTCTTTCTGCCTCTCTCCTCACTGCCGTGTAGTTGTTTCTCGCATCTTTGTATCGCTGGTATGTTTGGGGGTTCGGCCTCTTCCTGTATTGATTCCATTTTTGTGTCTTTTGGTCTCTGGCCCTCTCGCACTTTCTGTTGAACCAATCCTGTTTCCTAGTTCTGCTTCTCTGTTTTGGTATAAATTTTTTTGTGCCTTTATCATATATTTCACAAAACCTGCCATACATCTCATTCACTTCCTTGCCTAGCAACAAGTCTGTCCAATTATACTCACACTCGCATAACAGCTGTGGCCACCTGTTACTGTCTGCAATCACCATACAAGATTAGTGGTTCGTTGTGGTGAACACAAATGTAGATACTTGTATATAATGTGTGTATATAGTGTAATACCAGCAAAAGGAGTGTTGGGAGAAGCCATTTTGGTGAAGATGGTAGCATCATCTTCCTAACTTGTCATGCTATGTAAGGGTGGCCACTATGCTCTTTGTGCACTATACCACCTTGGATGAACAGTTATGGTGAACAGAACATGTAGATCCTTACATAATGTCTGTATATAGTTAATAAAAGCAAAAACAGTATGGTGGGAGGATGATGTTGGCGAGTGAAGTGTTTGAGGGAGGGAGTGGCAGCGAGAGGCTGTCTGGCAGATGTGGCCACTCCTCTTTGCTTTTTGACTCACAATATGAACTTTGTGGTTTGTTATGGTGAACAAAACGTGCAGATACTTATATGTAACGTGTATGTGTATATAGTGTAATAACTGACAACGTATTTGTTTTATGAACAACATAATTGGATCAATAATATGACACCATAATTTTGAGTACAGCGATGATTCACACATTTTATTATATAAATATATCACACTACAGAATAATAATACAGCAAAAAAAAAAAATCAATGAGACATTGAAATAATTAGGTATTTACATCTTTGTGGAAACTCCCGCCTGACAGCTGGGACGAAGCAGAATGCCGACGACGCTTGCAGAGTCGATGCCTCTTCCGCCCCCCCCCCAACTTCCCCTCCCTATTTCGACCAAAATATGCCACTTTTTTTTTCTCTCTCTCTGCTGTGCTCTGCTCTGAGCCAAATAGCCCAGAGCAGCTTGGGGGTTAATGTCTGCAATCATTTTGAAAGCTGCTGCAGGAGCAAATTTTTTGTCTTCATAATATACAATTTTAAGTGTTCAGTTCAGCAAAGTAGCAAATATTGTTTGCAGTACTAGTATTTTAAATTGGATTAAGGTGATAAATTCCAGGTACAAAGGTACGGTAAAATTGAGGATCTGAAAACATAATACAGGGTACATAACACAATCGAATCTGCCCATAGTAGGAAAACAGCATGTCAAGGATTTGGGAATAATGTTGTCCGACGACCTAACGTTTAGGGAGCATAACCAAGCAAATATTGCGGCAGCCAGGAAATGATAGGATGGATTACGAGAACTTTTAAATCCAGGCACAAGGGTTGTACTCTTCAAGTCACTTGTGTTGTCCCATCTTGAGTACTGCTTAGTACTCGCTTCCCTCTTCAGAGCAGGAGATTGGTGAAAGAGAGGGAATACAGAGAACATATACGGCACGCAAAGATGCGATAAAGCACCTAAGTTATTGGGATCGTCTCCAAATGCCTTCCAAGTGTACTCGCTAGAAAGGAGATGAGAGAGATGTCAAATAATATACACGTGGAAGTTACTGGAGGGCCAAGGACCAAATCTACACAGTAAAATAGCAACATACTGGAGTGAACGATATGGAAGAAAATGCAGAATAAAACTAGTGAAGAGCAGGGGTGCCATAGGCACAATCAGAGAACACTGTATAAACATCAGAGGTCCACGGTTGTTAAACACCCTCCCAGTGAGCATAAGAAATATTGCCGGAACAACCGTGGACATCTTCAAGAGGAAACTAGATTGTTTCCTCCAAGGAGTGCCAGACCAACCAGGCTGTGGTCAGTATGTGGGCCTGCTGGCTGCTCCAAGCAACAGCCTAGCGGACCAAACTTACAAGTCGAGCTTGGCCTCGGGGCCGGGCTTGGGGAGTAGAAAAACTCCCAGAACCCCATCAATCAGATATGCCATGCACAGTTTAAAGGTTTACCGGTTAGCAACACCTTGTACGGCTTCCTGTAGTAGTCGTCCTACAGGCCCTGGAAAACCCAATCGGGG